TATGATGGGTACTTTATGATCATTAGAGTTCACTGGGTCATTTGGGTCTGAAATAAAGCAGAAAGAAAGAAAAAAAGGATGTATTTAAATTTATCATATTAAAATAAGAGGGGCAAAAACGAGAAGGAATGTAAATCAATAGCATGTCCACTTCTCCAAAGCATGTGCAGGATTGTTAGGATGATTTGGTCAGCAATAAGAAAAGAGATATAAGTCAACACATTCAGGTTATGCTGTTTAAGAGACATTATAATTTGTGTGCTTATCGATAACTGTTATGCAGATACCATTATTAGAATTCGACTTACCCTTTTTTGTATAATTCTCCGATTCTGTATCTAAAATAACAGCAACAACAAAAAATAATCAATTCAAATGCAGCTTTAAATAATGGATGGCATTATTTCATTATTACATCGTCTGAGAATAGTGGCAAGAGAAAGTGGTTCTTACTTGTTGACAGTAAGTGTTTTGGCTTTCTATGACATTACGTAGTCATGTGCCTATTAAGAATATGTTGTTCCACGACATGACAGCACTTTTTGGACGTCAAGAAAAAAAATCACTTTTTTTGGCGATGGCAAATTGTTCGCCGTATTCAGTGAGTGCTATTGAGAAAATGAAGTGGTTAAGGGAATCTGGTAGTGACGACCCCATGCATAAAGCAGATAAATGATTATTAACAGTGGCATTTCAACAGATCGGCTCTTCATCCATGTAAATCGGTGAACCCTCTAAGCAAAGGAGAGAACCAATAAGCAACTATACTATCATACGACAGAGAGCCTGGGAGGACTCCAAACCAGGGTCGCATTGGTGGAAAGGGAGCTCAATTAAAAAGGAGAACTCAGTTTTGAGCATGATTAAAGGAAGCGACAAACCGGGAGAGAACACAAACAACCCTGCCCACATGTGATCACCTATGGCCATATAGCGATGAGAACCACTCCATTCACCCATGAACTATATCGGCCTACGATTGAAATGATAGTTTATTAATTACCTTTCGTGGGCGTTGTTCTAGGGATTTCCGGAAAACGTACAGGGCCAATTCTTTTCGTCGGTTCTTCAGAAGTAGCATATAGAATGGTAAATGAAAATATGAATGAAAATATTTTGATAGTTTTTGTTAAATATTCCAAAAATATCTAAACACGAATGATGGTGATAGAACCAGAGAGAAGCGTAGGAAGCCGTGACGGTCCGCGTCGAAAGAAAAGAACGATTAATAAAGAATCAAGCAATGAACGGAGAAAAAAAGGATTGAATATCGGAATGGATGGGCGAATTGACAGATCGACGACTTGACGGGCGATTGACGGAAATAATTAATGGATATCGGATATTG